GTCACCTAAAAATGATAATGACAAATCCTAAAACTAATATAGTCAAACCTTAAAATGACATAGTCAGACCATAAAATGATACTGTCCAATCCCTCAAGATGATTACATGGTACCTTAAAATGATACTGTCCAATCCTTAAAATCATATAGTCTGATGTTAAAATGATAAAATCAAATCTTAAAATGATACTGTCCACTTGTTAACATAATATACTTGAACCTTAAAATGATATAGTCAAACCATAAAATGATACTTTTCAATTCTAAAAATGATATAGTCAAACCTTAAAATAATATACCGTAAAATTCCTATTAAACGCCCCTGCCCTAATAAAGCCCCCCCCCCCCCACAGGTTTTTTGACAAGGAAAAAAAATTACTCACCATGCAGTGCAAAATTCAAAAGTGAATCCAAAACTATTCAAATCCTTCAAAATCCACTTTATTTAATCGATAACACAAAAAAGAATCATAAAGTTTTAAAACTTTTAACACTTTTAACATTAATTAACACTTAACGTAACAGTACAATATCCAATGGCACGTGTACATATGTACATAGAAATGTACCGTGAGTCTTACGTTTTTAGAAAAGTTAATGACCAGGACTGTCACAGTCAGACACCTGATCATCTGAATCACTGTTTTGATCAGATTCAGACAGTTCTGCAGCCACATTTTCCTGCACCTGCTCACTTATGTTCACATCATCGGGATCGAACCCTTCAAAGTCAGATTCAACAGTTTCGTCATCAGAAGCGTGATTAAAGAGATGATCTTCAGTTCCATCCAGCTCTGTAGAAATCCCGCACTTTTTAAATGATTTCCTAATCATTTCAGGGGTAACAGTATCCCAGGCAGTTTTAATCCACTTGAGAATCAGAGACTTGGGGGTTTTGATTCCCGGCAGGATTTAAGTACACAGGCCCAGAAAACAGCCACTCGTCATATAATTCAGCAAACTTTCCCTTAAATGGTTTGTTCCATGAAACGTCTGCCGGCTGTAACGTGACGTGCAGCCTCCTGGTTTTACACTCATGTCAGTGTTGCAGTGTGTACGTAAATAATCCTTGATGTATTACGTCATTTCAAGCTGATTAAAGATGCATACCTTTCTATTGTTGCGCATTATATTTGTTTGCAAGCAAACAGTATAATTGTTTGTAATTAAATACAGTTTTGCGGTGACGACGATAAACAAATGTGAATGTGAACATGCAAATAAAATAGTTAGAGTAATGTGACTTAGAATTTGATAATATGAGCCACAAATTTTAAATCTTGTTTTGTTCAAAGAATGTGCCGCAGAAATAAAACCGCAGAAATAAAAAATACATGTCAAAATTTAGAAAAAACGCAGAATTTGGAGCCCGCAGAAAAAAAAACGCTTATAAGGTATTTAAATTACGTCATCTTGAGTTCTTAGAACACCCAATTCAAGAACAACACTATAGCGTCACCGTGCGATCAGGATGTTCCTAAATGTAATCAAAGCACTATTACTTGTATGATCTCCAATTCCTTATCTAATTTTCACATTTAAACCAACCATGTTTATTATAGAATTTATATTGTATTTTTTCATATTTTGAAAGCCAACATCACATGATTTAGAGTTCTAGCGTTAACTTATGATTGATACCACATCATGTAATTTCGAATTGTCTCCGCAAAGTTTTCAAAGTATACATCGCTGATACTATAAAACGTAATCTGAAACTTTCATATTATTAAAGGCACGCAACGTAGTCTGACCTTAAAACGCAGAGTTATGGCCCTTGATTACTTATGCATTATAGAGCAAAAATCGTTTCCGCGCTACTTCTCTGCAACAACTTGCTAGAATTCAACAAAACTTTATGGGAACCTTAAATACTAAGAGGAGATGCGCATATCCTCGGACGGAAGGACAGACAACGCCAAAACAATATCATCTCCCGATTCCATCGGCGGGGGATAAGTAATAGATATACCATGGCTGTGTTGACGATTTCTTGGTTTGCGTAAATTATACCATAACCACGTGACCTTTCTTATGCCGTAACCTCATGAGACGAAGTCGAGTGAGGTTGCATAAGAAAGGTCACGTGATTATGGTATTATTTACGCAAACCCAGAAATCGTCAACGCACCAATGGTGTATCTGTTTTAACCTATAGCTCCGCCCAGAAACACTTACTCGTTCGTTCTTCAAAACTGAAAATTATACCATATAGTCTGGGTATGGTATAAGTAATAGAAAGAGCACCGAAACACGAGGCTATCTGATTTGTACGAGGGGGCGTAGCCCCCGAGTATAAATCAGATTGCCGAGTGTTTTGGTGTTCTTTCTCTTTTGTATCATAGTCAAACATGACAGCACGTTCCCTGTTGTCATAGTATGAAACCCCAGAAAAAATTAACCAATGAACGAGCATTTGAATATGATAGTTCTGCCCCTTTCCCTTTCTCTGCCGTCACAATATGTAAACCCCGGCAAAAATGAACCAATCCACGGGCATTATCTGGAGTGCGGGTAACTGATACCCGCACTCCAGTTACCGCACTGTGCATGTATATGTATACGATTTAACTCTGACACTTTTTCAACAGAAAGGTACCCAAACTATGATACAATTTACGGTTATTGGAAATAATACTTGGAAGAATTTTACATAAAAAGCGCTGAAGAGCTATAGGTTAATAAATATAACCACGGGGGAGGAACTGTTACCCGCCATGAAAGTTATAGAGGATATTTGTTTAGTTCAGTGTAAGATCGAATTTCACCGAGTGAGCAACAAAAGGTATATTTCACGAGATGCGCAGCCACGAGTGAAATATGAACTTTTGGTGTGTAAAAGGTGAAATATATTTCGATCTTACACTAAACTAAACAAATTTTCTTTTTATTATATGCAACGAAACGTTTTAAAAAGACATTTAAACCTATTACTGAATGAAAAGCGCGCCAAATAATAATATAACGTGACGTAATTTAATGAACAGAACAGAACATATTTTATTACACATAAACTGTACAGTTTCTAGTGTTTAACAATGAATACATATAATATAATATTGAACGATACATATAGGATGAAAAGTGCATGAAATTATTATGTATAACACAATAATGGATGAACTAATATTTTCTTAAGAAATAACATGAATACATTATATAATGTAATTCAAAAAGCAACATGTAATTGCATATTAAAGAACAAAGAAAAAACACATGTACTTGCATTATGTGATAATGTTTGAATTCAACAGATACTTAAAATGGAAAGTAGGAACTAGAATATAATACCTAAGCAGTTCAAAAAGGTAATCATTAAAATGTGTATATAATATTATTTTAAATGAATACCATACTTCAAAAAGTTACATTGGCACATTTGAAAGAATTTGATTTCTAATTTTAAAAGCCTCGAAAAAATATTTGCTAAACGTAAGTAATACTGAAAAATTTTGGCTATTTAAAAGGTTTACAAATTTAAACATACATGGTTTTTGTCTGTAAAATTTCTTTATATAATTTTGACGGAATTACATTGTACTGTGGACAAACAAAAACAAAATGGTATTCATCTTCGATTACGTTTAAGTTACAGATTTGACAATAACGTTGATCTCTATCTATTTGATTATTTACGAACCTTTCATACGGAGACTATGGGCTAAAATACGTATTTTTGTAAAAGCTGCCCTATGGTTTCTTGAAGTAATCTTATCTAAATATGGTTCAAAAGCAAACGAATCTTTAATATTTTTATAAACTAATAGAGAACTACTTCTCTCCATAACTATGGAAGGGGATATCCGCCAGTTCACGCATTATGCTTTATGGCAATCCAATGTTTATTTTACTTTTACAATATTTGAATTACTGTTGTTTTATTACTGCTGAAATTATTGCTTTATTTTGAAGTCAATAATTAAAACGGCATTTTGAGATACTTTGGTGCTTTTTGTTAAGTATAATTATGAAAATGTATATGTTTTTAGATTATGAATAAAAGTACTTCATTCTTTTAAATATACTTTACACTCCACAATGAAAAGCGTAGAATGTTCAACTGTTTATTCGGTATTAATCTAAAGGTTTTGTTTAAATATTTGAAACAAACTACTTATTGTAGTACAGCTTTCGGAACGCATTACAGATTTCAAGTTATTTTAAATAACTTTCACTAATAGCCTTATATGTGGGGAAAGTGTAAGGGAGCTAGACGCATAGCATTACTCACAATTTATTACCGATGTATCCAATGTTCAAACGATAGTAAATTATTTTCAACAAAGTAGATGAACCTGGCAATTGACAGAAAATTTGCAGCTACTTTCGGTTTCGCTTTAGCTATATATACATCAGTTTCATAATTTACAAAAAAAGCATATATTAAAAATCAAGCAGCTATATGATGGTTTGGTATTACACTCTTTAATATTGCGGAAAGGTCTGTCACTTTCAAATCAATAATCTTAACATATCAAACAGCAACTGTTGACTTTCTGGTCAACTCGTACTTAAGTCAACTCACACCATAGAAATCATAGAATACATGTAACTGTCTATGATAAGGACATTTAATCATTGCAGGTTTATCACAGTACTTAAAGCATCAAGATACATGTTTATACAATATTTTTAAATTTTATTTATTGATGTTTCAGTTGGGAATTTTTGGCTGTGAATTGTAAAAAAAAGGTACTATTTTCATTTGGGAACTTTACCCAAATCGGTCATGAATTTAGCTGAGAAAAAACCTTGATATTGTATTAGAATTAGGAGCCTTTAATGACTGATACTTGGGTAACGTGATTACTGATACTTAGATAACGCAATTAGTTCTAGTGTGAAAAATTGAAATATATATCTTTATCAAAGGCTGATTTAATTTGTTTGATTGTGTTGGCACATGGCAGCTTATATACTGATATTGATAAGAATCTCAGAAAAAATATGAAAAAAAAAATACTATGGTACGAGTTGACTTGGGTACTGGTACTAAAAGACTAAGGTACGAGTTGACTGAGGTACAAGTTGACCAGTTTCCAACTGTTGCTATATCAGCAGCAAAAAGTTAATTAAGTAACTAGTGTAACTATGCAATAAAATAACATTAAGATATTGCTCCCCTTTATCACAAGGAATACATCCTAATTGTGCATGCTTTACTGTTTAATTTATCACAATTTTTGTTATTATGCATTTTAATTTATGACTCAGATCTGTGACATGTGCATTCAGATAAATGTGCATGAATTCAAAATCATGCTTGTGAAACTATAGAAGTTGAACACACACAGTTATGATCTATTTCTTAAATAAATATTTTAAACAGATGAGTCAACAAAGAGCTTTAGAGCTTTTAAGACAGGCAGCTGCTGCCCTGGAGTCAACTCATACATCAACCAGTGATGATGCCTCATCTAGTACCGCTTCAAGCCAATCAAGGACAAGGACATTGGCAGCAGTAAGGGACATTTTTTCTCCATATCCAACCCACAGTTCGATTAGAAGGCGTTCAAGTGCTCCAGCTCGTACACCGTCACGTGCATTCTGGACCCACAGATTCTGTGTCCTTGGAAGAACAACTGACGTAAATTTCATTTTTTTACATTAAATTAGTAAATTTGTTGTTTGTATCAACAAGAAAGCCCATGAGGGCAACGGATTGCTCACATGAAAATGACTGGCTGATTCTGTCGGTCCATGATTGAATAATATTTAACATTTATCAAGTCTGACATTTTTGGCTCTACATAACCTTAAAGCTCGGGTGCATATGTGAGCATCATTTTCAAATTGTAAAAAGAAAAAACTGCATAATTGGACAGAAACACACTTTTTTCATTGAAATCGGGGAGTTATGAGTAGGAGTGGATAAAACGAGTTCCAACTATAGTCTAAAAAAGTGCTTTCAACGTCCAAAAACAAACTTGAATAATAGACTAATGGTAAAGTTTCAAATGTTAAGAAATTTTAATATTTTGAGTAGTTTGGAAGGGTATTTTAACTTAATAAAAATGTTTGAAAACTATGCACTGGAGCCATAAAAACACAACTCATCATTCGCATGACTATGATATAAGTTAATAAAATCAGGTATATGTATTGATATATTGGTTGGGGACCACCAAAACCGGACAACCACCAAACCCGGACGGCCCCGAAAATGCTTAATTTAGTATGTTCTTTGTTCAGTGGTTGTCAGTCACTTTTTTATCAACAATAAGTGCATGTTTATTTTAAAATTAAGTAAATAAATTTATTTCAACCTCCGTAAATGGTAATATTTTAATGTCTTTTTCAAGAACGTTGACATTGAAATTTGGGGGTCAAGAAAGCAATGCCTGACCTCATATACCAGCTATTATCATTTGCAGAGTGAATAATAGAATATCCGAAACTTCAGCATTTGTTGCTGACATATTGTATATCATGTAAAAAATAAAAACACCCAAACTTTTATCTGAATTAAATCATGTCATGTACATATCTGTCCGGACACATGGTACTGTATGAAGACAATTTTGGTAATTTTGATACCCTCCTTGTCGAGCCTCAGATATAAGTGCCAATACAATCAGAAATAAACAAACTAGTTTGTTAGTTAGGAGAAGAACCTAGCTGGTCTGTGTCAAATTTTATGGTCTCTAGGTTAAAAATTATAAAATCTATACGGAAAAATGTTCCAAAAATGTCCGGTTGATGGTCTCCGACCAGTACATGTTATCATGTATATATATATCAATGTTGAGATAACTAGATTTGGTTGGTTGTTTTGAGTAAATGAATTTAAGTTTACCCATGCATTCACTTAAATTTTTATATGATATAATTTACAGTAAAAATCAATAAATTATAATGTAGTGATAGAAGCCTTATGATTGAAGTTGATAGATTACCCTTTTCTGATTTTTTAGACTATGGCTCCTACCAGAGAAGAAAAAGATAGACTGTACAAGGCAAATTTGGGGGAAAAGAAGATATCTTTTGAAAAAAATGATGATGCAGGCTACTTTAAATGTCGCATTGAGGAGCATTATCCCAAATTGGATGGCATTGGTGGTTTTGAACTACTTAGAACACAGGCCAGAAGTAGATGCGACTTAGAAGTGATCATTGTGCCACCAGGTGGCTATACTGTTAACTTTCTGTCAAATTTCAGTAACCTTGGACAGGCAGTGTGTTACATAAGGCCGATCCAGAATGATCTTTCACTTGTGGATCAAGAATTCTCAGTAAGTTTAAATTAACATAATCATAATGAGGTTCATCCTCTTACAGAGACTGATTTAAAGATTGCGTTGTAAATACCTTACTTAACTCATTACTTCATCAGCATTTTGTGAAAAATGGCTGTTTTCATTGAAAAGTCTCCCGTTACAAGTTCAAATTGCTATAATACTATAAAAACTGCTTCAACACTAATCAAACTTGGCACAAATGTTGATTGGACCATTGCCCTTGCAACAACATGCTCAGGCTTAATTTTTCTGTTACCATGGCAACGAGGGGACATCTCAAAATCGCCAAAAATCACTATTTTGCGTTGATTTTTTCCACCAAAATTGATTTCAAAGTGCTGCAACTTCTCAATGGATTGAGATAGAGTCAAATGTTTTTCAGCGTTGGTTACACCTTACCTTATGATCAATCTGGGGTCATTTACAGCCTCTCACAAGTCCAAAATTTTCTTGGCGATGAGGGGGACTCTGCCCCCCTTCAAACCCCCGTAACAGAAGGGGGCACATCCCCCTTCTGGCCTAAATAAGGCATTTTTTCATCATTTGAGACAACTAAAAGGGGGGGGGGGGTGAAAAAGGCGTTAAAAGGGGTGTATATGAAGTAATGGGTTAAATTGCTAATTACATATTATTTTAACCATTTAATGGTTAGTATTCCAGTTAAGAACTGAATATCGAGACAATATTATTGTGGATCAATTTTTAACTCGGATTAGTGTCTTTTTTTCAGTTTCTCCAAGTTAACTTTTATTTTATATAGAGGATAAAAAGTTTTTTTCTATGTTTATATATTTAAGTTATGTATAACAGATCTTGCCATCAATAGAGCTGATTGAATTAGTTTTTGGGCCAATATAGTGCCCCCTCTCTACAACAACATCCTTTTGGAGACAATATTTTTGTTTGTTGTACAGAGGGAGTTGCTGAAAGGAGGTAAAATTAAGAACTATCTGAATGTATGGGAGACTTCTGTTCTTATTGTAATAGGGAGGGAATTGTTGTTGAGAGGGACATTCAAGAGAGGAAGTACTATAACTGATTTCTGACTTGGCTTGAGAATGATAAAAAAAATTATGCAACTCTGTTTGTAAGAATCAGTGTTACTGTTACTTAAAATATAAACTTGATTTCCTGTCAGATACTAGTTTTGGAAAACATGGTGATGAGCCCTTTTTTGTTCCATTTTTCGGTCCGGTATTGAGCTGCATTCTCCTAATTGAAAATTACATGTAATTATCCTCCCCAACTATTCAAAAAAAATTCCCCACCCCAAAAATAAAAAAATGATTCCATAGTTTTTCTGAGATGTTTTCTATAGACATGTATTACGGCTATGTTTTATACACAGGATGAAGTGACATCACGTATCAGTGTCGATAAAACACTATGTTTATTCTTAATGAATTCACTTCAATTGTCCAAGATTTTGACAAATTGATGATTAAGACTTGATATGCAGTATATGTTAACTAGTATTACATTACCACTTTTGTAACCTCTAAACATTCCCAATTTGGTAATTAATGATGCAAAGTTCCAAAGTCTAAAGGACACAGTACCTTTCCCTAAAACCATAAAAAAGGCTGCATATATTCATAAAACTTGGTGCAGTATTACATATGTTTAATTTATTTAGGTTATTGAAAGGAAAAGTAAGCCTTGTGTCACATATCATATATATTTTTTCAAAAGTTCTAACATTTCTTTTCAATTATGACATAATTTCATATTTAAGGATGAAGATGGTGTTCAGGAGGAGTGCATCCACTGTCATGAAATGATTCCTCTAAGACTACTTCGGGAGCATACTAACACTTGTGAAGTTTCAAAGAAGGTGAACTTTAGTAACAATAATAAGGTCAATTAGAATAAGCTAAATTGCATTTCACATGTTTAACAAGTCTTTGTTATTGATTGATTAAATTTGATATATTGTATGCCAAACTAAAGGTATTTCATTAGTGTTTTGCAAGCCATATTTTATTGTCTACACTCAGTGAACACATGATATTACAAACTAAACAAAAGCTGTGAGAGGAGACAGCATGCTTGACTAAATTGTTTCTTGATAGTGAAAAATGAAAAATACACGAAAAATAAAAGATACATGAGAGTTGTAAATGTCATAAGTGAAAATAAGATTTACACTGAAAATTTAAGTTTTGGAACATAAAATATCTAACAAAATTATTGCAGGAATTAAGTTATATGCTTTCCTATAATATATCATAAATCAAAAGGAGATATAATTCTGATGAAATATAATTGCAAGATATTATAGACCTTGCCATGATTATTATCTTGCTGTTTATGAGGAACAACTATTTAAAGTAATACCTTCTGTAATTTTAAAGATTGGGTAAAATATAGCATATATTCTTTAAAATAGTAAGTTCATTGGGGTATAATTCATAGAATATGGGTGCCAGTGTTATGATCACTGTCATTTGAGTTGAGAGTTATGATGAAAGAGAAAAATCAATTGAAGTTTGATGTCAAACCCGTAAGTAATGGAGTGAAAAGAACCAAAAAAACAACATTTTTACTGGGGATAATTCTTTAAATATGGGTGCTTAAGTTACGAACTGTGTCACATAAGATGTGGTTGATGATAAAGAACAATCATTTCATGTTTGAAGTAAACACCTTCAGTAAATGATTGACATCAAATCTTACCATTTAGGGCATGTACAAGATCCTTTAACCTATACACTATCTTGCTGTTTATGATTATATATTACATAAATGTGGATCAATTAATATTATCATTGTTATAATTTCAGGACAAAGATTTAGATCTACAATCCTGCACACTGCCACCAACAAGAAAAGAGCTTATTCAGACTCCAGTGTGTCAATATGCTTGTGTAAGTATTCTTTACAAGAACCTATAGAATGTTAAAAAAGGCTGAACATTGTGCTGACTTACTAACTATGGATGTAATAAGTGTTATACTATGAGAATGGATACAGATGTGTTGAGGAAAACATTTATGCATGTGAAAGTGTATAACAATATATATATATAAACACGTAATATAACACGTAATATGCCAGGTAAATATGAAATTTTGAACTGTAATTTTGACCAGAAACTCCCCAGAAACATTGTAACAGTGAATTATTAAAATGCATCTCTGCTTACAAATTTCTTAATATTAAAGATTTTCCACAAAACATTTCTTTTCAGAATGCTAGCAAAAGTGCTGACTGTCCAGTGTCTCAGTAATTATATTGTTATTTTAATTTGATGAAAGTTTTGTTCAATGTTTACAATTTATCAAAAAAAGGATAATATTTTGAAGCAAACAATATTTTTCTTTTTCTGTACTAAAAAATGAGATAATGGTGAATAAATGAAGTTTGTTGATTGGCTATAGGCCACTTTCAGCAAGGTCAAACATTTATATTAATCACTCTTTCTAAGCAAGTGGCATTGTTTCCAAATGAATAAATGACTTAGGTGAAATTGTTTTGTTCAAGCCTCACATTGTGTTTGCTGATGGGAGGGCTTAAACCTTTTACTTTTATAATCAAACAATAGATACTAAATTGAGTTATATTTGGAATAGCAATAATTTGTATGTTTGCATAAATACATGTTGGTGTGTTTATTCTGTATTTTATTGTTTGCTTTTAATTTTCAAAATGCTTATGAAATCATTGGAGTTGTTGCACAACTGTCTATGCTTTCATTTTTAGCTCACCTGTCACAAAGTGACAGGGTGAGCTTTTGTGATCGCTTTTCGTCCGGCGTCTGGCCGGCGTCCGTGCCATGGCAACCGAAAGAAAAAACTTTAAATATCTTCTTTTAAAAAACCCAAAGAGCTAGAGCTTAGATATTTGGCATATAACATCTTCTAGTGAGTGTCTACCAAGTTTGTTCAAATAAAAGCCCTGGGGTCAAAATTGGCCCCGCCCCAGGGGATCATTGATTTTCCCTATATGCATATAGTAAAAACTTAAAAAAATCTTTTTTTAAAGAACCCAAAGAGCTAGAGAGCAAAGATATTTAGCATGAAACATCTTCTCATGAGTGTCGACCAAGTTTGTTCAAATAAAAGCCCTGGGGTCAATATTGGCCCCGCCCCAGGGGGTCATTGATTTTCCCTATATGCATATAGTAAAAACTTAAAAAATCTTCTTTTAAAGAACCCAAAGAGCTAGACCTAAGATATTTAGCATGAAACATCTTCTCATGAGTGTCTACCAAGTTTGTTCAAATAAAAGCCCTGGGGTCAAAATTGGCCCCGCCCCAGGGGGTCATTGATTTTCCCTGTATGCATATAGTATAAACTTTAAAAAATCTTCTTTTAAAGAACTCAAAGAGCTAGAGCTAAGGTATTTAGCATGAAACATGTTCTAATGGGTGTCTACAAAGTTTGTTCAATAAAAGCCCTGGGGTCAATATTGGCCCCGCCCCGGGGGTCATTGATTTTCCTTATATGTGTATAGCAAAAACTTAAAAAATCTTCTTTGAAGAAACGAAAATAGCTACAGTTTAGATATTAAGCATGAAACATCTTCTAGTGAGTGTCAACAAAGTTTGTTCAAATAAAAGCCCTAGGGTCAAAATTGGCCCTGCCCCGGGGGTCATTGATTTTCCTTATATGTGTTTGCAAAAACTTAAAAATCTTCTTTGAAAAAACCCAAATAGCTAGAGTTTAGATATTAAGCATGAAACATCTTCTACTAAGTGTCTACAAAGTTTGTTCAAATAAAAGCCCTGGGGTCAAAACTGGCCCCGCCCCAGGGGTGTCATTGTTTTGAACTATATGTGTATAGTAAAAAATTAAAAAATCTTCTTTTAAAAAACCCAATGAGCTAGAGCTTAGATGTTAAGCATGAAACATCTTCTTATAGGTGTCTACCAAGTTTGTTCAAATAAAAGCCCTTGGGTTAAAATTAGCCCTGCCAGGTGGGGGGAGGTCTTTGATTTTGATTATATATGTATAGTAAAAACTTAACATCATGAAACATCTTCTAATGGGTGTCTTCCAAGTTTGTTCAAATAAAAGCCCTTGGGTTTAAACTGGCCTCGCTCCGAGGGCCTATATACAGGTGAGCAACCTCAGGGCCATCATGGCCCTCTTGTTTATGATATCTTTGTTAGTGTTTATTTTTCTGTTTGTTATTTTTACCAATATATCCCTGTTTTTTGATTGTTACTTTTACCATTCATATAAAGCTATTCACAGAGACATGTACATGTTGTATTTGAAATTTTTTAACAGTTTTCAATGCTAGTTATCTGAGGAGTAAACTGAGCTTGCCTTTAATGAAATAAAATATTTAAAGATCTGAAAATTATAACTTATCATACTCATGGAAATTAGCATTAATCTACCCTAAAGCATTTAAGAAATTGCACAAATTACTTCATGTCCATTAAAATGGTATTGTTTTTAGCTTGAGTATTCAAAGAATATTTACGCAACCTGGCTGTGGGCGTCACTCAAGTTTAGGTTTTGCATGCAAGGTACTAAACTTAAGCACAAAAAGAACCCCTCTGGTGAAAAAACAACAACAGAAACATACCACAGATTTGATGCGCATTTAGTAAATTTATTCTCATATGACATTTTGAGTGATAAATATGATTATATAGTTAGTGACAATATGTTGAGTTTTCATTGTGAACTATGTGTATTAATTAGCCATTTGTGTTTCTTTTGTGGTTGTATAATGCTTATACCTAAGTAATGGATGCATTTATTAGATGATAGTTTACACAAGTATTCCTCATCTGGGCTGTGCAACAATAATTCCAGTTAGAATTTATATTTGCATGGATGCTTAAAGCCTTCTTGTTTTATGGATCCGTTATGTTTAGAAATCTTTATTTATGAAAGGTAAAAACTGAATATGTGTATTGAACAATTGTAGAGATCCACCAGCTTTTGAGACCTGTCCAGTTTGCTACATTGACTTACCAGTATGTCAGATTCAAGAACATGCGGATACATGCTGTTCAAAGCAAGAAAGTGATCCAGGAGTGGTTCCATCTGTTGAGAACAAGTAATATGTTACTTTATATTGTACTTACATAGTATGCATAGAATGTTCATCATTGATATGATATTTAAGCTTTTGTTGATGTTCAACCATCACAGCTGTCACCTACACCCATTAATAGAAGGGGAACCCATAATTAAAGGGCCAATAAGCCTAAACTTGAAATCTTGATGGCTATGTTATGTATTGTTTTTTGTGCCCCCACTTTAGTGGCGGGCATTTAGATTTACCCTTGTCTGTCCGTCTGTCCATTCTCTTTTGTGTCGCATGTAACTCAAAAATATTTGACCTAGTCATGAAACTTTGCAGGAATGTTGATCAGCATGTGTAGTTGTGCACCTGGGTATTTTCGTCTGGATATTTCTAGTAATTTTAGAGTAATTGCCCTTGACTTGGTAAAAACTTGCAATTTTCAACTTGTGTCACATTTAACTCAAAAAGTATTTGACCTAGAGTCATGAAACTTTACAGGAATGTTGATCTGCATGTGTAGTTGTGGACCTGTGTATTTTCATCTGGATAGTTTTAGTATTTTCAGAGTTATTGCCCTTGACTTAGTAAAATTTTGCAATTTTCAACTTGTGTCGCACATAACACAAAAAAGTATATGACTTAGAGTCATGAAACCTTACGGGAAGGTTGCTCAGCATATTTAGTTTTGCACGTGGGGTTTAGCTTGTGGATTTATCCAATATTTGTAGAGTTATTTCCCTTGACTTAGTTATAACATTTCATAATGTTGTTGTTCCTTGAGTTAGAATCAATGAACTTTACAAGAATAATGATTCACATCACTGTGAAGCTACGCAACTGAGACTTTGCATGTGGATTTTTTTCAGTTTTGTTAGAGTTATTGCCTTTGACTTACAGTAGTATAAATTTGCAATTTTCAACTTGTTCGTACATAGTTCAAAAAGTATTTCACTTGTAGGCCTGAAAGTTTACAAGAATGTTGGTCAGCAAGTGTACTTATGCACCTTGGGGTTTGCTTGTGGATTTATTCAGTATTTGTAAAGTTCTTGCCATTTACTTAGTAAAAGATCTTTAGTTTTCAAAAAAACATTTGACCTAGAGTCATAAGATTGACAGAACAGTGGCGCGGTGGGGGAACCCGTGTCCTGTGGACACATTTCTATTTGTTTATTTTTATCTCTTAATTTATGATTTCAGATCGTACGAGGAAGCTCTACACAATGTGTATGAAGCCTTTTCAGAACAATGGGAGCTGTCCATTGTAAGGAGGCACTTCCTGCTGACAGCAATGGAGCAAATCGAAGATGCAACAAAAGACGACTGGGTAAAAAAAGTGAAAGTTCGTTTTATTGGGGAGGAAGGTATAGATGAGGGTGGACTCACTCGAGAGTTTTTTACTTTGCTTTTCAAGCACACACCAATTTTTGACAGTGACATGATTCATGTTTCAGCTGATCTTCTTAGCAAAGATGTGTACCTCAAAATGGGAAAAATGACTGGTATGGCACTTCTAACTGGACATCCTGGGCCAAGATGCTTCACTCCCCATCTTGTAGATTACATCATCTGTGAGAAGACTCCAAACATAATATCACTTCCTGAGGAACTGATCAAGGCTGATGTAAAGCATGCCATACAACAGGTGACTGATGATCACGTTTCTGAGCTTTAAAACATTTCTTCCGGTTATTGCCACATAGTTATGAACTATTATTAGTCTGACAATCATAAAGTCAAGCCTTGAATATTTTTTTATGCCACCGCAGCATCTGCGATGCGGTGGCATATAGTGATTCACCTGTGTGTTTGCGTGTGTTTATGGTCCAATCTCGCTACATTGACCTGTAAACACACCAACAAATTGACTACATTTTGGAAAGTCACTACATACACTCGTGTAGTGATTTTCCTAATGCCTTTAAAAATGCTTTTTCCTTCATATTTTGTTTGCTAGTCGAAAATTTTGAATATGTGCAATTTTCCATGTTAAACTGACGTTTTATACACGTCCCTGTTAACTGAATTTTTGATGCGTACACACTTTTATCCAAACGCGCACCTGCTACCGGTGTTAGGGTAAGAATGTACCGCGAAACGTCCACCATATTGAACTCGAAGGACAACGTGTTGTTTTTTATAGTTATTGAAAAAAGTTTAATATTTCGGAGATACAAGATATTACAGACGTATAAGGTAAATATATATATATATATATTTCCTATGGACATTATTTGTCAGCTATATTTATAAAAGATTCCTTTCGGGCATTAAATTAACATTCACTCAGAATCTCGATGACGCATGATCCATCATTTGTTTAAAATAATAATGAAATACTAAAATAATAAGATTCTATTTTATGTTATATTATTAAAATCAATAACAACAAGAATATTGGATGTTAATGCAGAAAACAAATTTCATTTGTCACACAATTTCGCGATGCCGCTTTTTATTAATAAAAAAGGGTCACCAAAAGGAAGGAAGTTTTGTTTTGTTAAAAGGAAACAACATTTAAGATGTACTTTATGAATTAAATTTGCTTTAGATATTATTTACATTATTTGAGATGGAGATATCTGCCACTGGCCCAGTATGTGTTTGTCATACATATGATATTTACTTGAGGGAGGGAGATATGTTAAGTGAATCAATTAGTAAACAGCAATACATAATGGCCTGATGAGGAAAGGTTTTAAGGATTTATTCTTCAAATCTTATATTTCACTTTTTTATAGTATAAAATATATAAGAATGGTAGGCTAAATTCTTTGTGAAATATATGAAAAAGGGTCATTGTGGTAATAATAATTAGTATTTTGCTGTTATAAGGAAAGAGAACAGAAAAGATAATAACATATGTGAGTTTAGTAGATTAAAGTGTGACTGTATATATCTCTATAAATTTTCATTTCTTTTTTAATTCACAATTTGGATTTTTTTTTCAAAATTATCACGGTGACGGACCCATTCACAATTTAAGGAAATAATCGCTTAATATATATATATCATTTATAAAGAAAAAAAGCAAACTATCATCTGAAAAATAGTGATTGAATTTAATAAAATTTGTTTTGAATATCTATTTTTGGGTTCCATTGACCAACTAGAAATAATGTAGGCCCGAATTGACCAATTTTTTGGCAAAATTGACATGGGGCTGTGTTGAATTAAATTCGACTAGCTGCATTCTTGCAGCAAAGACGACTAACATATTTTTGATGTTATTTTGGGTCTTCTACTTTTCCTGACTTAAGTACGCAAAGAAGATTTTTTAAAAATTGTACATTTGAGATTATTGAAATACATGTAGATAATTGTGTTTAGCTTGTCTCACACATGGTTCCAATAAGGTATACTTGGTTATACATGATTGATTGGTATGAGTTTTCAGCTCCAATTGTGCCTTGGGATTAGTTGGCAAGAGTTACACTTGAATGTAGTACAAGTATGTACAAATAAAGCACGGATATATATACTCGGTCAAGTAAGGTTTGTAAATGATTTGCATTAGGAATACATACAATTGTTGTAAGGCTCCAAGTAAGGTCTAATAAGTACGGTCTCATACAATTAAACAAGATTTTTACTTTATTTGCTAGAGTTTCATAGGGTTAACATAAGGTCCTGCAGAGTTTTGATCAAATTATTACATATTTGTGTATGTTTTGATATAAATTGATCCATTTTGATGGCTTGGCTTCATAAATTTTCAAACTAAAATTCAATGAAAGGAACACCCATATCTGCGAATAACTGTTCTATAAAACAATGCAACAGATGACAGGATAAGAGAATTAGAATGACAGGATAAGAGAATTAGAAATCATGATAAGACTGATAGACATTGTTGTGTCCCCCAGCTCAGTTAGCTCACCAGGCTCGACAGTTTCACCGTCAGCAGGCTGAAGTGATCGGTGGGCCTTGATAGCCCTTGTATTCTTTCTGTGCGTGGGAACCTTTTTCTTTGGATGCATTCTAGGTTGATGCAACAAGTACTCTGCGTAGATCTAGCAGTTGAGGGTGGCTTTCATTGTACAGTTCGTGCTGACGTAGAGGCCATGTAAGACAGAATATACAAGGTGATGCCGTTTATACTCGTACTATACCGAGTCTGCCATGTATGTTTCCTACTTGAACTGTATTGGTCATATGGTGATAGTTTTAAATCGTATGTGCACTTGTGTAAATCGCACCGTAACCATGTGACATTTGGGTGTTTATAGGGTGTTGGAACAGGATATATGACTTTGGGACGGTCTTGAACGATTCCATGCGATTTGTATACGATTTGAGTTGACTTCAAATACGGTTGTATATACTGAGTCTCATACGGGCTTTTACAAACTTGTACAGTGGCTTATGTGACACCCGTATAATTGTTTTAATATTTTCAAAAATCATACACAGCTTACACTGATACACTTGAATGGCCTCGGTTGGTTCGGTCATATGTACGGTTTACATGAGTGGCCAACTGTATAAGCTGTGTGTTCTGTGTGAGAAGGGCTTTACACAAGGTCAGGTGCAAAACTTGAACATTAAAGCAAATGAAACTACTATCTGTTGCATCAGGGTCTTTCAAATAGACAAATGTCTCACCTGAGTTAATGATTTTAACTAATTTCAATTTCCTTCAAAAGTGTAAATGTATTTAATTGATTTAATTTCTTGAGTTTCGATAAAAAATATTGTATTTTAATTTTTTTTTGTAATAATTATTTATATATGTACATGTTATCTCCTTTACAATTTAATTCAAAAAAAAATTCTGAAATGGATGGAATTCTTGTCATGTCAACCAAAATGTACATTTCAAGGAGTGTAATGATTATATTATTTATAGATGGCACTGCAGTGTTTTTACCCCCTGCTTTGGGGAAATGGTGCCAGTACCAGACAGATTGTGAAAAAATTATGCTTTGGTTTAACTCAAATTGGGAATTTTACATAAGATGCAAAATATTCATTGGGAGTTCCTTTTATCCAGGAAAACATGTATAATATGCATAATAAACATTTAAAAACCGTGTATTATTAACTTCAATGATTTTTTGTTACTTTAGGTTGACAAAAAAGAAAACAATTGTACATAAATAATATTTAGGTGTGAAACACTAAAAGTACGAAATGAACTGGGTACGAATATGGAATATGTGGTTATACTTGGTTATTATCCTATATCACTATCATCATGGAAGCATCCATACTGGTTTGTTTAGCTTTAAATTTGCAGATTTTTGAGGAATTGTCAGTGTTATTTTGGGCTCTTTGCAGATATGAAATGGGAATTTTGCTGTCTATTTTTTCTTTTGGGAACTATGCTGTTTTCTGGTATAAGTAATTTAAGGAAAAAAACGCTGCACTGTATTGTATATACTGCCCCGAGCCGCACAAGAAGTGACCACTCCAAGAAGTTCCATCTACCATCCACATCTACATCATACTACAAGAACTCCTTCACTCGTACAGCCACAATATGGAACAGCCTACCTGCCTCCGTTGCAGAGGCCCCTGACTTGGTATCCTTCAAGCAGGGGCTATCAGCCCTCACATTCTAAGTCGCCTTAGGGGCCCAGCTACAAGTACCCACTAGTGATATCCAAGGCTGTGCCGGCAGCGGCCACGGTAACCGGAGAGGTTTGGGTTGAAGAGGCGAAATGTAGCTGGCCATACTTTTTGTCTATATCTCTTACCTTTGTACTATATCCAACCTCTTCTAACTTTCTATCATTTCTTGTACATTTCTTTTTCTTGACCTAGCACCACCTGTCGCGTCATAATCAAGTGTGATTGTCGCGTCATAATCAAGTGTGATTGCGCCGACGTACAATGTAGATGTAGATGTACTGGTTGGGGAGATAACTTCGGCTGGTTGATAAACTCGGCTTTTTATAATTAAATCGAGTTATCGGAATTTTTAATCTAATCAAGCTCACCATCTCATACTATCGCTGGTGTAATAGTTTTTGTAGTTTGATATTTTTTAACATGTAAAAATATATACATGTATAAAGGGAAATAATTACTTCAAATATAATTGTTGAGTATTTACATTCTACATTAAAATAAAGGGAAATAATAATAAACATTTCATTTTCAAATTAAACATAGCTTTGATATTAAATTGTTTTGTAATTGTTAAAACAGTATATTATTATGAAATTCTGATAATTGGTTAAAAATTTGGTATACTTTGAGAAATTTTAAAACCATGTTAAACATTATATTGTGAGTTAAATATAAACTCCTGTTTGCATTACTGTAATCGGTGGATTTCTAATCGGATTGGACATAAGTATATTGTTACTGGTCCTAAGTTTGTGGTAAGGTAATGGTAAGAAGCCTGAGGAAAGTTAATAGTAACACCTACATAGGCTACACTGCCACTGATGAAGTTGTACTAATTAACACTTCAGACATTATATATTTGATGAAATCATATTGAGATAAATTATACTTTGGGAATATTTATGTATTATAAATGAAATTTAATCTTATTGCACAAAATTAAATGTCTTTAATTTGATCTGTTTTGTTGTTACTGTTGCTAAATTAGGCTCAAACCCCGCAAACTAATCCGGCTACACTGGAATTCGACAATATCTGGAAATTTTGTCAACTTTTGTAAGATATTAAAAA